CTGCAATTCTAAGGACACATCAGTAGCACACATTCTTCCGATGCTTCCCAGCTCTTTAGAATCAGATAGCTTCTAACTTCCTATGATTGGCGATATTTTTGTTTTGTTTCGTCTGCAAGTGTTCTGAGCCCCAGCAATTAGGGGGGAGGTCCTGAGAGGAATCACAGTGATGGCCCAATGTGCTGGCTGTGCTTGCAAATCAACTGTAGCCACGGCAGGAGAACCCAGGCATGAAAGGAAGGGTTAGGGAGGAAGTCTTCCAGCTCTTTCCTATGGTCCTTAAAGGAAAGAGGAAGGAACTCACACTTTTTTTGCACCTATGGTGAACCTGTTTGGATGCTGCCTTTGGTCCTTGAGCAAGCTTTGGAGTCTCTATGGGCCTCGCTGCCACTACTTCGCAAAATGCACAGGACTATAAGAGCCCTTGGAGCCTTTTGCCACTCGTGTGTGCTGAGCCTGCCCTGGTGTTCTACTATATTCGGTTGAAGGTCTCCAAAGCAAATGGCAACTCTGGGTCCTCTTGTGAAAAGGGTCTCTCTTCTCTAGTCTGCCTCCCTGCTTCTCAGCCTGAGTGTGCCTAGCCCTTCCTTATGCCCAAATCCCAGGAAGGCTGACTCCAGATGGCAGAGCAAGGCCTGAGTCTCCCTCAAGTTCAGGTTGCTGAGCGGGGAGGGCACTGGATGTCCTGGCTCTGAGTAGCCTTTAATCTTCCCTCTTCACACCTTCCTGGGCATTACACTGGCACCTGAGGGGCTGTAGTAATTAAGCTTCCTGTTTTTCTTTGCCTTTAGTAGGAGTATTCTCTCATACCCAACAATTACTTCTTTTTAGACCTTATATTCTCTTACCTATATATCTCTAACAAACGTAACAAAAATATGGTAAAGGCTGTAATGGGAGAGTCTATGTAACTCTAAAGGAGTTAAGTTTAATTCCACTTTAAAGCCTCTTCATACACTTGCATTTATAAATGCATTTGGAGTATGACCTTCTTCTTAAAGTACCCTCTCCAGCAAGGAGGTGAAGCAATAGAACCTCTATTCCATTTAAGGCAGATTCTCAATATCCATTTCACTCTTCAAAATAACATGTCATCCTTTTAATGCTCAGGATCTGGCCTACATGATCCTTGACTACAATTTGTAGCAGACTCCTCACTTCCCAAAACTGCTGGCTACATCTTCTGTAAAGACTGACACACCATCTTTGCTTTAAAAAAAAAAAGCCCCCTAATAAAACTCTGATACTTCCATTTAGGATGAAGAATGCCAAATGGAAGGAAGTTTCTTATTTTCAACCAGTAGAGAACTTATTTACTTTTGCAGTAACTTTTTTTTTTTTTTTAATCTTATTTATTTGACAGAGAGAGACACAGCGAGAGAGGGAACACAAGCAGGGGGAGTGGGAGAGGGAGAAGCAGGCTTCCCGCCGAGCAGGGAGCCCGATGCAGGGCTCGATCCCAGGACCCTGGGATCATGACCTGAGCTGAAGGCAGACGCTTAACGACTGAGCCACCCAGGCGCCCCACTTTTGCAGTAACTTTTAAGAGAAATACGTTGTTCAGTAGTTTAATAGTCAATAGCTAACCCAAGAGTCTTCCAGTTCTGATTCTGCCTACTTGTATTTGGGTGGCTCTGAACAATGACATTTCAGTATTTGAATTTCTCATCTTTAAAAGATGGATAGTATCTCATGAACCCAAAGAATAACCAGTCAAAATCTCAATTTATCATAAAAATTGTTAAAATATTTCATGGTAAGTATAACCTTTTGGGGAGGCAATTTGTCAGTATCTGCCAAAAATTTTTAACATTTTTATTTATTTGTCAAAGAGAGAGAGAGGTCGCATGCACAAGCAGGGGGAGCGGCAGGCAGAGGGAAAAGCAGGCTCCCCGCTGAGCAAGGACCCCGATGTGGGACTCAATGCCAGGACCCTGGGATCATGACCCGAGCTGAAGGCAGGTGCTTAACCGAGCCACACAGGCGTCCCCTGCCAAAAATTTTATTTTATTTTTTTTTAAGATTTTATTTATTTATTCATGAGACTCAGAGGCGGAGAGAGAGAGAGAGAGAAGCAGAGGGAGAAGCAGGCTCCCAAGGAGCAGGGAGCCCGATGCGGGACTCGATCCCAGCGCCCTGGGATCATGACCTGAGCCGAAGGCAGACGCCCAACCATCTAAGCCACCCAGGCGCCCCCCCTGCCAAAAATTTTAAACACAACTCTCTTTTGAGTCAGCAATTCTACTTAGAGGTGTCTACAGACTTACCTATGCCTACACAGATGCTCACTGCAGTACTGTTAGAAACAGCAAAAACTAGGAAACGTGAATGACCATCAATAATGATCAAATAGATTATGGGGCATCATACTATGCAATGTCACTTGTATGTCTGAATTTTGTGACTCAGGAGAAAAAAAATAAGTACATCATAAATATTTACAAGGATCTCTTTAGACCCCTCCTTCACTGATTTTCTGGCCACTACTGGCTTTCAGCTTCCATACTGGGCCCCTGCCGACCATTCCTCATGCCACCACTTAACAGGTCTATCATGATTCCTCATGTCATTCCAGATCTCTGTTAGTACTTCCTCTTTTTCAGTGGGTGACCAATAAATTCAACTTACATAGCAGGTCCAAACCAACGGACATGCCTAAAGACCTAAGTGATTCCACTTCATCCTGGTTGATACGATCTCCTTCAGACTGGGATATGGGCATTAAATATTTGGTGTGGCATTTATTTCTACACCATGGTGCATGGTTAAACAGCAGCATTCCTAGAACAGAGCAACATCTTTACCCATTAACTCCAGGGAGCAACTTGGCTTAGACCCAGGGAATTTCCCAAGTTGTGGCAAGTGTTAGCACTAGTGTTCAGTTTTTGCTATTAGAAGACAAGAGAATGAACCAGCCTACGTATTTTGTTGCATAGGTATCCAAACCATTTGCTGGTTTTTATGTAGTTTCAAAAGGCATTTCAGGTCATTTGAAAATGAAAAAAAGCAAAAGCAAAAAACCAACCAATACGAAAAAAGCTTTAACTTACAACCTCTTACTAATAAAGTACCCTAATAACTAGCCAATGGTTCACACTTGAATAACAGGTAATGCCAAGATGTAGGCCGTATTTGATCGATGTGCATTTGTAGTGATACCATCATATGCAAAAAGTGCCTGGCCGGTACTGAAAAAGAGCTATTTCAGGCCCTTTCAGGTGTGTTGTACCAAGCTGACCTATATCTGAACTTTCATCATAGATTATGTGATGCCAAGCAAGGGAGTTGGCCACATTTTTCATTCAAGAAACTGCTGTGTTGTCTCTCCAGTGTAGTTTTCAATATAGCTAGTTGCTACCCTAACATCTGGGCAGCACTTACAATTCTCTAGGCAGTGAGGGTAATTATCTGTCAAATGGCACTGTCACACAAATATTTTTTCATCCCTGTGGCGCACAGGACACAAAGATTTCCTTTTTCAGATTTCACTCTAAGAAAATTAATAAACATGGCAAGTATTAACACCTTGACAGATGACTGCAACAATGACAGCAACTAACCTGCCCAACCTTTACATGGAAAAAGTTAGGGAACGGAGATGAATTTAGTTACGTTTTAATCCATACTGACTTTTTGAGTGCCCCAATTTTAATACTAAAATTTATACTGGTTTTCCTATTAAGAAAATCTTCATACCCATAGTGCTGTAACCATCTCTAAACATTAAAATTGTTCCTACACGTTAACTTTACAAATCATCCCAATTATACCAAGGCTTTACACTAAACTACCTAAAATTTCAAGCCCTAGGGATACTGCTGAAACACTAAACAGAACTGTATTAGCTCCACCAGATTGAAGAGTTTTTGTCTCTGTCAATATCTGAAGCCAGTTAACAAAAAGGTTTTTTTTGTTCCTATTCTCGACATCTTAAGAAACTGGTAGTTGTCATGACACACCCACTGAAATTACAAGAGTTTCCTTGAGGCAGAATTCACTTTTAATTGGATCACTTACTAGCAACAGATGTTGACAGTTGTCATGCTATAGCTATAAGCAGAAACATTCATGTAAGGATACTAACTTGTTCCTGTTGACTAAAAACTTTTATGAATTTTTATAATCACAGCCTTTCTGAGGTCCTCCATCTAACTTAGAAAACTGATAAATTTAGATTTATAATCACTTTAACTGCATGTGCCTTGCTTTGAAAAACTATCTTGTTTAACCCAACATTCTGAAAGTAAACTTAATTTTTCTGCATTTACATACATAGCAACCCCTGAGAACACTGACAAAAACTTGTTTTTATCAGATCATGAACCTATTTATAAACATAAATATTTTTAAAGGGAAAAACTTTGCCAGACCTTATACTTGTTTAAATGGTGCTGCTAAGTTACTACTAGAAAGATTAAAATATGTATATAACAAAATCTTGAAATCTTAAGTGAAAGCCATTTAACTAATATTTAAAACCTCTGCAATTATTAGTTTATTAGTATCATCCAGGACTCAGATGTTCAGTATTCCTCCTGAAATTACATAAACAAATGCAAATGGAAAGAATCCAAGTCAAAATTATATAACAAAACAGCACTCCATCACAAAAGCGTGTAAAATTACAAGAACGCTATTTTAAAACACTGGCACTTTAAGAGAACGGTAATCTCAAAAAACCACCAAATTGCCAAATTGTTCCCTAAACTGTTAAGTAGATAAACATGACTCTAATGAATGAGTTAGGGTTTTGTAAAGAAAAATCAAATTCAAATCAGATAACTCATACTGAAATACAAAGTTTTATGTGTCTTCTTCCCTTAGGTCTATTTGACTTTTATAAAGCAACAAACTATAATATAGGAAAATATACGATTTTAAATGTGGCATACATTTTAGAAGTTGGCCCAATTAATTAAAAATAACCTTTAATGTAAAGTCAAGTTTCCTAAGAAATCCATATTCAGATAAATAGGAGAAGACATTTACAGCCAGCATGTTTTTCCAGAGCCTCTGCTGGGACTAATGTCAACAAAAAAATTTAATATGGCAGTCTTGTATTTTAAGCTCACGCTTTTGGGGATACATTCTCAGGTCTTCTTTAATGTGGGAACTGCAAATATAACTGCCATTACATGGTAATGGGAGTTAAAGAATGTAGAGTCCTCATGTAAAGATTAGAACATACTTTTCTCTTAGTCCTTCAAGGACAGACTTTTCAAAATGTTTGATTCTACTAATCCCATGCTGTGAATAGACTGGTTACTCTTCACTTTATAAATGTGACTGGGCTATGTGAGATCTGGTATCAATCGATCAAGATTTGAGTTTCAGTTATGGATGAAAACTGTCTCAATTCAACTTTTATTACCCTCATCATGAGTATGCAGGGTGCAGACAAAAGCTTTTTATCAGCTAACTATATGAAAAGATAAACACTAATAATCCATGTGATCCAAAATGGGCAAAAGCAAAAGACTAGCTTCCCCTCAAGAAGAAAAATTTCAGACCTATGAAAAGGACAACAATACTAATAAAAAAAATTGTATTTACTTAGAAGCATTCAGAATGTCAACAAAACAGCTGCAACTTTTTTTTTTTTTGCAATTACAGAGTGGTATTCAGTTAACAGAACAACAATTATTTCGTAGAAGCTGCATCAGAGACAACTGAAGATGAAAAACTACCATCCCCATATATAACTAATTTGTGCTGTGCACCAACAAGAACCTGCTTTAAATTTCCATGCCAATTTACAACCCCCATACTGTACCAGGCAAGGTTAGTGGCTATTGAAAATACCACCAGGACAGGGCTATCTAAAGACACATTCGGTAGTGTGTTAACTATACAAAAAAAGACACTGTACAGTTTAAAAACAAATCTTACACAGCCTTACATTTCAATTTTTTTCTTTAAAAGGAGTGAGTTGTGTACAGGGGGGTTAAATGCTTTATAGACAAGAAAAAAAAAACTGCGCTAGAACCAACTTATTCATCATCATTCTTCATCTTCTTCATCTTCCTCCTCCTCCTCATCCTCTTCATCTTCCTCATCTTCCTCCTCTTCCTTCTTTTTCTTGCTCTTTTCAGCCTTGACAACTCCCTTTTTTGCCGCATCAGGCTTTCCTTTAGCTCGGTATGCAGCAATATCCTTCCAAAACAACGGCAGGAGAAAGTGGAAGGAAAGACAAAACAGTTAAGTAAAGGGAGAAATAAAAGTAACACTGAACTTGACCAAAACTTGATGAAAACATCAAGATCCCAATTACACGAAAATACAACATATCTATAGACTCACCCCGACTGCATAAATGACTGAATGCATATAAAAACACTAGGAGATAACTGCAATTAATAATCCATAACTTACAGAATAACATGGTCTAATATTTGCAATGTTATGCCTCACTGAAGTACAATTATGTACCACATCCTAACTTTAGTTTATTAAAACTAGAATGTAGAGACTTTGATTAAAGGGTAGACACTGCCACCTTCTGAATGCAAAACAACATTCTACAGGTTTATCCCAGACCCTAATGCATAGTAGAAAATTTTGTCTTTAAAAAAAAAAAAAAAAAAAAAAGGGTGATTTGCCAGTAAGCATGCAATTAGGTTAAGAACATCTAGAAACCAACATTTTTCCAGATGCCTAAATAAGCTAAAATTCAACTTCATATTCCAATTCAAAGTATAGGAGCCACAGCTTTTTCTTTATCAACTTACACAGATCAACAGACTTAGAACTTTTTTTAAACGAAGTTGGGATTTTTTTTCTTTGGTTATCTAAGGAGTCAACAAAAATGTTTCAGGGTACGTTTAAGAATAGTCTTTATTACTTTGCCCAGACTATTTTTATAATGTGTCTGATCATTTAAGGTAAATAATCATTTGACTCAAAGTGACTACCAAAATTCTCACAAATTTGGGGGTATTAGAGAATAACAATACCAGCTTAAGTGTATGGCCTTGCACCCAAGTCAAAAAAAAATTAACAATTTATTTGATCTATACTCTCTGAATGATGGAAAAGAATTAACGCTATAGCCAGCCAATGGCACACTGAATGTAGCTGTTAATCTAAAACCTGCATTACACCCCAAACTCTTAGAAAACCCCAAGAAAATAGGAAACTGAGATGAGGTACCAAGTACAATTTAACATCTGGCATATCCTTTCATCATTACACTGAGCAAATCCATACTTCTTACCTTTTCATATTTTTCCTTCAGCTTAGCAGCCTTCTTTTCATAAGGCTGCTTGTCATCTGCAGCAGTGTTATTCCACATCTCTCCCAGTTTCTTTGCAACATCACCAATGGATAGGCCGGGATGTTCTCCTTTGATTTTTGGGCGATACTCAGAACAAAACAAGAAAAAGGCCGAACTAAAAAGAGAAATTTAATTTTAGGATTTTAAGTTTACTATCAAATGCCTATTGTACTGTTATATAAAAGCCGCTTCTAATTTCTACCAGATACTGGACAGGGTACAGACGTTATGTGCTAAATAACCTTCATAACCAAAGCTTAACTTACAGCTAAAAACTTATGGTACTACTAGTTGAAGATGTACTACTGCTAAATGCTAGAGGTCCAAAAACAATTCTGCAAATCACTCTAAGTATTTCAGATCGTTGATATTTCTCAAAGTTACATTTAGGAGATACATTAAGTGAAGGAGGCAAGTGTCTAATTCAAATGCTCTGGCTAAGCCTCCCATTCAACAGGAATTTTACTTACAATATTCAAAATATACCAATGTGAGCCACTTGCCAGCTAAGAAACTTTGATCATACACTCCAAACCCACACGATAGCTTGCTAAATTTCTATCTGATTCTACTGCAAAACCCTCCTTGAAAATAAAAACAGGCAAGATACTTACGGAGGCCTCTTGGGTGCATTGGGATCCTTGAACTTCTTTTTTGTTTCCCCTTTAGGGGGGATATAAGTTTTCATTTCTCTTTCATAACGGGCCTTGTCCGCCTTTGCCATGTCTTCAAATTTTCCTTTCTCTTTAGCAGACATGGTCTACAAAAGAATTATTTGTAAACTTAAGTCGATAATGAATTTTAATAAATTGTCCTCAAAGTATTAAAATGACTAAAATAAGTATTCTTTGCTATTTATGCAGCAGCCTGTTCTAACATCACCACTCATGTTATACAAATGGCACCTAGGCTTTTTTAAAATCTTAATTTGGATTTAACTTTTAAAAAATTACCTCCTTAGTATGTTTCAAGCCCCCTTACCTTCCACCTTTCTGAGCACTTCTTAGAAAACTCTGAGAAGTTGACTGAAGCATCTGGGTGCTTCTTCTTGTGCTCCTCTCGGCAAGTTTGCACAAAGAATGCATATGATGACATTTTGCCTCTCGGCTTCTTAGGATCTCCTTTGCCCATGTTTAATTATTTTCTAAAAAGGGATAAAGTAAATGTTTGATGTTAGCAATGAAATTATAGCACTTTAACTTCATGGGGAGGGAATGAAAACCCAAGTATTGGTTATTTAACGGTAGTGACATTAACCTCCTATGATATTAAACAAGAAAATGGCAGGGATAGCCAATTCCTAGAAGAGGCTATGCCAAGCAAAAAAACCCAAAAGACAAAAAAAGAAAACCCCAAACGGTCCTTCAGTGAGCTCAAAAAAGTATAGACACGATGGTATCCTCATACAGTACTCGTTACTCATCTGCCTGGATCTGCTCTGAACCAATACCTCATTTAAAAACTTTTTAAATGTACAAAACCATTTTTAATCAACAAAACCAAAGACCACAAAACTAATGCTGCCGGTTGGTGGATCTGCACCACATAAGGAATAAATAGGTAAGAGCCCAAGTGAGTAGATTTTTTCCAAATTATGGGCCTAAATCACCGTCTACCTGAAGTTTTCCCAATGAGGACTTTAAAAATACTCTCTCTGCACAAAACTTTGCTGGGAGGAGGGAGGAGTAGAAAGCTCCAGCGCTCGGACCCAGGCTGGGGGGTGGCGGTGGTATTTGTACGGCTGCCACCGCGAGGCAGCCTCGTTTCCTATCGGTTTGGCCCCGAGATGTATTTCAGTTCTGACTAAACACGTCCGGTCTGAAGTTTCTTCGAGTAAACAAGGATGAGGGACAAAAGCCACTCCTGCTGGTTGCTCTGCCTGCCCCCCCCCACAACCAGGGGAGTATTTTTTTTTTTTTTTAATCTATGAAAGTCGGGGCGCCGCGCGAGGCGGGCTCCGCACACCTTCCCGCCACTCGGCCCCCACCCCCAGAACTTCGGTGGCGGCGGGGCGGCCGAGGAAACGCGGGGCCGCGGCCCGGCCTCCAGGCCCCGGCCCGCCCGCGCCGGGGCCGCCACGTGCGCTCGCCCGCCCGCCGGCGCAGGCCCCGCAGGCCTCCCCCATTTTGTCAGCTCGGCGGAGGGAGAAGCCCCGCTCGAAATGGGGGCTGGCTCCGCCCGCGGCCGCCGGGGCCGGCGCGCACGGAATGGCCGCTGCGCGTCTTCCCCGCCTGCGCCGCCGCCGCCGCCGCCGCGAGGGCGAGCGCGAGCGAGAATATGGCTCCTTCCCTTTGTGTGTGTGTGTGTGTGTGTGTGCGTGCGTGTGTGTATGTGTGTGAGTGTGAGCGCAGGCGGGCGGGGTGCGCGCCGCGCTCTGGCGCACACACTCGGCCATTACAGCCGGGGGGGAGGGGCGGGGGGCGCGCGGACCCGGACCCTCCCCCTCCCGACCCGCGGGGGAGGGGGCCGCCCCGGGAGGCGCCCACCGGCCCGCCGCTCCCCGTCCCCCTCCGCGCGGGCCCGCGCGCCCCGGCCGCCCCCGCACGGAGAACGCGGGGCTGGGAAGAGAGGAAAAAAAAAGTTGCCTCGGAACTGCTGCGCCCAGCTCCCCCGCCCGCTCCCGCCCGCCTTGTTTTCTCTCCAGCCAGCAGCGCCGGGCCGAGTCAGCCATGTTCCAGCGAGCGCAGCGGCGCCGCTCCCCCCGCCGCCGAGCCGCCGCCGCCGCC